TCCTACCCACCTCGTTTTGGGGCCCAGTAATGACGCTCGTGGTTCATCAAGGTAGGCAGAAGTTTTAGGCCAGCTTTGACTGGCTATGCCGAGTCCCAGCGACTGATGTTACTGACTTGGTGTCCTTCCTGCCTGTACTCACCAGATCTAATCTGGTAGGGCTTCAGAAATGAAAGCCAGGACGCTGGACACTGGCTGAAGGACAGACGACACCACTAGACCCATCAAAACCCAGGAGTGGATAAATACAAGAAGTCATGGATTTATACAGATTTATTTACTTCTAGAAATAAGGCACGTTCCACATTTTACTGCTCTAAAGCGTTTTTTTTTTTTTGTCTTTTTTTTTTAACCAGAGTTGCCAATACAAATTTAGCCTTCAGATACAGGAATCCCCACAACCAATCCTGCAGAAACTACATCCAAAGAAAACAAAATGGGTGTTGGGGGGGAGAGGGGCATTAAAATACTCTCATCAAAAAATGGTTGGATTGAATTGGAGTTTTAACACATGACTGCCGAGGTCAGTGTTTTGCTTTGTAGAATGGGAGATTGAAAGGAAAGTCCTTGTCGCTTCCACTTCTGTGCAGTTAGCATTTGCTGTCAGCCTATTACCCTCAAAAGCTTCTTAAAGGCCCCAGGGGAACACACCTTAAATGGGAAGCCAAGGATTTACTGATTGTCCAGTTAATATTTTAGCATTTTAATAGCCCAAATTATTGGTCCTGTTATGATAGTAAAACCCAATAGCCCAAATTAATAGGGCAAAGCCACAAGGATACAGTAAAAACTGTTACGCAGGAGAAACCCTCCCTGATGCCTCCCCCCGCCTTTGGCTGGGCTCGAGCTCGTGCTTCCATGTCCCTCTGGGCCCCGCGGGCACCTGCTCCTGTCCTCCTGGAGCCGGGCTGGGGCTCGGAGCAGCGTCAGCACCCGAGGTCTGCCGGGGCTCTTGCCTCTCTCAGCCAGGAGGCACCTGATGTTGGTGTTGACGCTTCCGCCCTGCTGGGCGCGGGGGCCGCTGGGTTTATTTTGTGTACCTTTTCACGTGGTCCGCCTGCACTGCTGCTCTTTGTCCGTTCCCGGTTATTCAGTTTTTCTGTTCTCTTTGTTGCCCTGAAGCGGTTTCCCTGACCTGCTGCAGTTCAGTGGCCTGGGGCTGCACTTGGCCACACCACCTTCCGCTGGGGAGCCAAAACAGCCGAGTGCCCCTGGGGTATCGATGCGGTATCGCTCTAAACTAAAGCAAGCCATAGTTACCCGACGGCCAGCCAGCTGCTGGCACGGCTCAACAAGCTGAAGTCAGCCCAGGTCCAGACAAGCCCTGAGCCTGCGCTCGGGCTGGCACAGAGCCTGGGGCCTTTCAGTGCTTATAAATGACATTTCCTGGGCTACTGCCTGCTCAAAAACGTTGTGACGAACCTCCCCAGCCCCGGGCTGAGGGCTGCAGCCCTGGCAGGGGCTGCGGCTGCCGTGGGTTGGTTAGGTGAACGGGGAGCTCTGGGGGAACAGAGGTGGCTGGGGAGGAACATGTGCTTCGGTGTTACCGAGATGGAGGTCCGTGGTGTTCTGGTTTGAAAAGGCCTCGTACTTAGCAGGGATGCGGAGGAGGGCAGTGGTCTAGAGAACAGCCCTGTCCCTGGACAGGGGAGAACCAGAAATAGCAGATTTCCAGATGTCTCTGTCTTTCAGCCTGCTCTTTTGTGCCATAACGTGTATGTTTTAACTAAGGGCGAGGGTCTCAAAAGGCTTTGAGAGCGTAGCTACTTATCATTTACAAATGACAAACTGCCTGTTGTTTTCCGGTGGGCTTGGTAGGGGCTAAGGTATAGCAAAAATATCTGTAAAGTCCACCTTTGCTTTAAACAGATGCATTTCTATTTGCAGGGGTAAGAATTATTTCACTTATTGGCATAGCTGGACAGTTACCTATTTCTTTCTGTTACCAAGGTACTTGTAACTCTCTTGCACTGTTTATCTAAAGTTGAAATATGTTCTTTGAATCCTTGTATAAATAAAAAGGCTGGAGACTTAAATCTGTATTCACAGGGCAGTTTTATTCCTTCTCCATTTAAGTTGGGTTTGGGGTTTTCTTTCTTTTTCCTTGTTAAGAGACAGATAAAGGCCAGGTCAGGCGTCCTGAGGAATGAAAGCTTGCTTTCAGCCGCTGGGTTTGTAACGGGCTGATGTTGGCGCGCCAGGTCTGCCGGCATTCGACCCCGCGTAATCTGGAGGAACAACCACTGGGGCTGCGTGGATGTGGTGTCTGTGGAAACACGGTGGAACCTGACTCGAGTCATCGAAGCAAGCATGCTGAACGGTCTCTTCCTCATAGAGATGCACAAAAAGTCACGACAGCGCAAGGAATCAGAACTACCCTTGGTATTCAGCATTATGGAGTGTTGTGCTAATTGTTTAATTGGTAGGGTTAACAGCAAGCGAAGCCCGTCGCACTGATGTGGATGTTCAGTCTCGAGCAAGTGCCTGAGACTGAACTGGTGCCGCAGAAAGGTTTGCGCTTCAGCTCTGCCCTGTCCAATTCCAGAAGTGAGTGAATGCAGGAGGCCAGGTAATGCGTCAAAAGCAGCTCACAAAGTGGCTGAGAGACTTGGTAACCAGAAACTACTAAAACTGTATCTGCCTGTAAGCAAATACCACTTAAATTTAATAAATTGAGTGATACCCCTGAGTGAGGAGGTATTTCTTTCTTTAGTTTCATGTCCTGCAGTTACAGCTATTTAGGCGCCACATGCACACATTTATATACGTACAAGTGAGTGTAGAAATGTTGGGCTTCTCCTAGGTGGAGTTGTTTGCAGACCAGCCACCTCTTTGCCGCCTCTGTGTGATCTTAAGTAGCGGCCGCTTACAGCTCTGTGTGTGTATTAAAGCTGTTTGGAAACAATTCTGTTGGTTTGTAAAGCCGCTGAACGCCCTATGTTTGCAAATTGTGACAGCGGTGGGCGTGATGCAAGCTCAGCTCTGCTCCTGCTTCCCTGCTGCCACACACAGCCCTGCTTCCCCAGGAAGGAGAGGCTTCAGGGACCCTCACAGCAGCCCTGCCTTGTGAGGAGGGGACGCCGGGCTCCTGTGCTCGTGTTAGGGGCCGTCTCCCTGGGCCCCAGAGCCGTCGTCTCTCTGGTTACTGCCACAGGTGACAGCAGCTGTGGGGTGGGTCAGCTTCCCCTCCCTCCGTGACGGGACAGAAGCGCATCCTCGCCCCTCATGGCTGAGTCCTTGCTGGCTGGCGCTGTGTTTCACACAGGTCCTATTAGCCTGTGCCCTGCTGCTGTGGCAGTCCAGGTTCATCTTTGTGCCAACAGCAGATATCGGTCACCGGCTCCTTTTTGCGTCATGCCCAGAAAGAAAAGCGTTCAAGAAGCTCGGCCACACGCTTGCTCTGCGAGGAAGCGGCTGGTACCCGCGTCCAGCCCTGCAGCACCGCCTGGCACCGGCTGATGCGGTGTTTCCCTGGCTGGGTCCTTGGCCCCATCCCCTCCCAGCCTTCGTAGCTTGAACGCGTGTCCTCACACTCATGCGTAGGATACTCTCTGCCCTGGCAACACACCAGCAATTCTACTGAAGTCCAGCAAGATTAGCGCTACCGTATCTAGCTAGCCTAGTAAATCATTTTCTGAGTATTCGAAAGACGCTTTGGTTGTAGGTGAGGGGCTACTAGATGATCTGGAGGTGATCAGATCAATATTGCATCATTGCACCGATAGTGCATCAGTGCTGGCCCCAGCGGCAGCCTTCCTGTGAGGAAGACGGGGGTTTAGCTTCTTGCAAGAAGCTGCTACAGGGACTGGACAAATCCAATTGTTTCAGAAACGATCTGTGGGCTCCGAAATGGCTTTTAACTGCTGAAACGCGACTCCCAGGATCCAGCAGGCACTAGGACCTGCCTGAAGCCTTTATGCCTGTGACTGTTACAAGGGGATAAATATAGCGCAGCCCAGCGCAGCCGTACACGTTGCTGGGGGAAGCACCCTGCGCCTGACAGCCCCGCGTCCCCCCACACTGGGGCTGCCCCGCAGCTTGAGTGCCTCACGGAGGAGGCGACCTAGGAGCTCTGCAGCGGGGTGGTGGTGCCGGCCACGCCGCGCCCTTGGCTGCCGATGCTCCAGCTCTGCCAGGTCACTGCCTCGCTGCTCATCAGCAACGCCAGGGCAGCCTGCGACGAGGACCTGCTCCTGCGCGAGGGAGTCACCTTCTGCGTTAATGTCACCAGGCAGCAGCCGTTCCCTGGCCTCCGGCAGGTGCGGGGCATACGCGTCCCCGTGTTCGATGATCCGGCTGAAGACCTGTACCGGTATTTTGAACAGTGCGGTGACGCTATAGACGAGGCGGTAAAGAGCGGTGGGAAGTGCTTAGTTTACTGCAAAAATGGCCGCAGCCGCTCAGCCGCCGTTTGCACAGCTTACCTGATGAGACACCGAAAGCTCCCGCTCAAGGACGCCTTTGAGGTATTGTACTTACCCCTGATTGATAGTTAGACATCGTTTGGGTAAAGAATGTTTATTATGAGTAATGGTGATTTCTCATAGAGCTATTTTGGTGCTCTCAGCAGTTATACAGATATTCAACACCTGAATAAAAATTCCACTGTAAGTTTTTTGACCCCCAACTTGAACAAATAATCTTTTGATGTGAGCTTTCTGTGATTAGATATAATTACACATGCAAATAGGCTTTAAAGCACTGGTAACAAATATGCAAAAAGTTGGTTGTTTTTGTGAACATTTCCCTCTTTTGCTGAGTCAGGATACGTAAGTGAAGACAGACTTAAAGCAAGTGAGATGGATGCGAGTGTGTGCAGAAGTTGTTTTGCAAGATCAGCTCGTATCACCTGTGTGATAGCTGGGCACAACAAAGAAACATCATCTGCTAGGCCTGCTACCTCGCTGGGGACTAGCTCGCTACGAGGAACAGCAGCGCAGCCTGACTAGGAAGCCCAGCCGCTACACGTGACTTATGCCCTACGGTCTTGTAGTCTGCACCCATCTGGTCGGTGCCTCCCTGGAGTTCCTAATGCAGAGAACGTTTTGCTCAGTACTGAACAGAGGCGTGCAGACACGTGAGCAAGTTTCACGATACTTTAAACATGAGCGGTATCACCACCCTTTGTGAGAGACATCCACATTTCCAGCAAGTTCAACAGCTCATTTTCATGTCTTGCCCATGAAGCCATTCCGTAACAGGGACTATGTGCCAAGAGGGCTTAGCAAGCACAGAGTGAGGTCAGCTCACCAAAATATCTGTTCATTATTCCATAGCCAAATCAAAACCAAAGTAAAGTAAAACAACATCTTAAAAGTCTAAGAGGAAAAAAAAAAAATCCATTTCCATGATCCCTGCCCTTGCTTCTACACTGTCTCTCCTTTTCCCTAGACTGTGAAGACTGCCAGACCGGTAGCAGAACCCAATGCAGGATTTTGGTCTCAGCTGCAGAGATATGAAGAAGATTTGCTGAGCAAAGGACTTAAAAATAGCAGCATGTGAAGATGTTTTAGAGAGTGTTAAGTGGCTTGCTACAGATTTTAAAAAAAAAAAAAAAAATCACTTCATATATCAATGATAGATAAAAAGCCTTACTCCCCAAACTGAGTTGATGGTTCATTAAATTCACGCAGAGCATTACCGCTGAAGGGGCGGGGGGAAGGGGCAGATAAGCAGGGAGAAACAGCAGAAACAAAATTATTGGAAGGACTGTAAACAAACCAGGCATGGCATCTTGGGCATTTATTTTCCCCTGAATGACACTGAATACAATAATGTATTGAACAAATGAGTTGCTACACAGGGATTTTTACTCTTGGTTTTTAATTAAACTTCTCAGTGATGTCACTAGAAGACCTGACACCAGTCCAAGGAAGGTCTGAATTTGTCACTCCCCTACTGGATCATAATTCACGTTCACGAGCTGATACTACCTTTGGTAGGAAACCAACACTGGAACTGCTTAGCTGCTGCCTGAGCTCTGCATTTTCCTTATGTTCAGCTAGACCAAAATACCAACACAGAATTACCTAAAAATCCAGAGGACAGAACATGCAGACGACGGTAAGGAGTTCAGCTCCCACCGTACACGTTAAGTGCCTTTTCGGCTTTTGAAATTATTCTCCAAAATACCAAAGGGATGATTTTTAAAAGAATAGTTGATAGTGGAGGGAAAAAAGATGACATGGGCAACGTAGAAGTAATCCTCATGCCTTTTAGCGCTCCTTACTAAGACTAGCAAGATCTACCAGTGCCCAGTCCATGCCTTAACATGTCAGTTCACAAGTCAGCTGTATCTGTATGCAAGCAACATGGCTAGATCGTTTCTGCTAAGACCGCTTGCAGGTCGCCCTGTGCAATATCTACTGGGATGTCGAAGAAGATGCACGAAGCTTCTAACTAACTCAGACTACAGTTATGTTCATCATAGGATATTAAAAGTAGAGAGAAACACCAAGGTATTTTGTCAAACTATTAACACATTTGTAATTTAAAAGGGCCAAGTTATGAAACCTGTGATCCTGCAGTGTGTAATTCCATTGCACGTTGCTCAAAGCATCAATACAAAGTAGAGTGAGCTCATCTAAGTGCTTACACAAGGCAAACATAGCGCCCAGCCATGGAGTAGTTCAAGGCAGAAATTCTGATGATGGAACAATGTCGGAGAATAAAAACCACTGGGGAATTGCACGACTTTTAGACAATTCATACGCAGTAGAAGTTCCCAATGTTAAAGATTGCTCTAAGTTGAAATATGGTTATTTTAAAAGCTGAAAACATAGAAATAGAAATAAAAAAAGTGGGGCGCTCATCTCCTTTGTTATAAAAAGGCATTTTTGCACCAGATATTTTCTCCACTCCCAGCCGTGTTTGGGTCATTCTGTATCATCTATCTTTGCTGTCTGCATTACAACCAATTTGTTGCACATCTGTAGATTTGGAGGTGCTAGGGAATTTTTTTGTAGTTTTTATAAATCTTAACTATCATACATAACATGAATGTCAGTATAACATGGGGCTTCAAGCCCACAGCATATAGACGATACCCATACTAATGGCCAAGATACCACTCATCAAAAAAATCTGTTTGTCAGGCTGTGGAATAAAGTTTATTTCCTGTCACAAGCTAAAGCTGCTAAACAAAAGTAGGAAGCTAAACCTTAGGAAAACACAACACATTTCTAACTGAGAGGCATACTAACTTGCAGTCAGCTACAGCTATCAGTTCCGCATTTTTGAGTCAGCTGAAATAGAAACAGTCCCTCTTGATTGTCAGGCTACTCCACACTCTGTGGTTAAATTTTACCAGGCTGCTCAGCACGCAGAAAACCTCCATGCCACAGGATTTCACATCACAGCATTTTCTCTAGAAACCTATTTACATTTGAAAACCGTTCCCAGAAACCCACTCCTATGTACATTGAAAACCATACCTCCTCCTTGTACTGCTCCAAATTAAAGATGAAAGATAGCAACTTGGAACCGGAACCCTGGAAGTAGTTCACTTCTTTATTTGAGTTCATAACCTACTAACATTACAAGTGGTGTAAAAGTTAAGTTTAGACATACTCCTTGTTGCTTATGACTGTCTCAGAGTTTTTGGTGTAAATGCGCTGCTGAGGAGCTGCCTGGCCCGCTGAATATGCGTATTTGTTGCAACTGTAAATTAAGAAAAGAAAAAAAAAAGATGATACAAAATAATAGTTATTACACACAGATCCAGAGTTTCAGACACTTAGAAAGTTAATCATTTAGGTCTGTATCCAGCCCACCGACAGCACGTAATCCACAAAGGTGCAGAAATTAGAGGCCTGTTCTCACCAGTCTTGTAGTTAAGGGGAAGGAGCAGAGCTCTTTGATAGGCAGCACAGCCCTCTCTCTAAGATAGAGACCACACTCTGGTCTCTATCTTAGCAACACACTCTGGATTCCTAACTCAAGTGTGCTCCTCCTCAAGGCGTTTTAGTCAAGTCCCTAAAGCAGAAGAGAACCTAGACCCTAATGCCTTTCTGCAAGCTGCATTTTTTAATACAGGAATGAAGGTGATGAGAAAGGATAGCAGAAGTATCTTCAGCCAACCTCTTCAGCTGCCATTCGTCACGTTCAACTTTTATTTCATACATCAGTTTTACCTGATTTTTCAAGACATTTCAGGATATTTGGGACTTTGTATCACAGTATGGTGAGCGAGATCTAAAGTCCAATGTGGCTGATGAAATATTACCATAAAACTTAAATGGCTTCAGATTAGGCTACGGAGTTTCAGAGGATCATTGTAACTTATTAGGTGTTTTGACATAACTTTCCTAAGATTAAATGCAGCAGCAGTGAGTATGCTTCTTCCTTCATGTCATCAGCCTCTCAAGCTTAGCTAGTACAGCCTCCAAGCCATTTGGGTTCTGGGTAGACATGGACCTCTGCTATGGCTGACAATTTAAGTATAATGGTTATGTATAATAATTAATTATATATATTTTCTGTATGTGTGAATAATTTAAGAATGAAAAAAAAAAATCCAGGCAAGGTTAAACATCGAGGCCAGACATCCCAACTTTTCTGATTTGATGTGCAACAAGACATTTCCATAAGGCACAAGAAAAAAGTCATATGCGTCTGATGACCAATTGGCTGTGCTTTGGGAGAGAAAGGCCATTACACTTTCTGCAAAGTAAATGGCATCTGAATACTTCAGTAGTAGTGAGTCTTGCAGAAAAACTTGATTATAATTAATAAACTATATTCGTTAATTAACTTTTCTTTTGGCAATAGATAGTCTGCTCTTTCACTGCCTGTTTTCATCATCTAAACCTCAGAACCATCAGCAGTACCCAGAATTACCAAATAATAGTTATAGGTGTGACCACTGATGTCAAAGTATCAGCGAGTACATTATGTGAGAGGCACAAGTATTTGGTACAGCATCCCCCGCAATCACAAGTCTGTGACATGCCAGAGCAGTGAATTAATAGGTACAATTTCCTGTTTGTACATTATATGGCTGCAGATTTATACCAGGGGGTGAGGGGGAGAGAGTAGGATACAGACAGAAAATGGTATATAATTGGCAGCTACTATTTCACCTGACAAATCCAAGCTTACCTGTAATCCTGGGTTTGCTTCCCTTTGCACGAACAGGTCAGAAAGATCCCACCAAGTGTATAAAGAACAGATCCAGCCCAGCCTAAGTACAGAGCATCTCCTAGTTCATACCTGAAACATAAAAGATTTTATGGAAACAGCAGATACCAGGATCAGGAAGCCTTTATTTCAGACTGAGCCATAAGATGCTCAAACCATGCAACCAAACAAATTCTAGTCTGTGTAGAGATCAGCTAACGGAAAGGTGCTTCAGCAGAGGAGAAAAGATCTGGCTTTGTGTCTGTTCAGTAAAACTTACATGTATATGTTAGGGCATGACAATGTCAGTATGACAATACTGACAGTACAGAAAGTACTAAGCAACATAAAGATAAGTAGCAATAAATACTTACATGCATTTAATAAACTGTCGATAAGAAATTATAATAATATAACTTCTGTGCAGTCCAGAACACTTGTTTTGCCTTTGCATTGGCTGTGCCACTGAAGTCAATCAGTTTTCTATGGCCACAACACTAGACCGCCTACAAGTAGCTATTTGTATAGGGTTCGTTTTCAAACTTACATATCCTAAAGAATATCCAGCACTCTCTGTGGTTCTGTGGCTGAAATACATTTATGAATAGGCCAAGTCTCCCTGCTCGGAAAAGAATAGCTTTTACTGCACAAAGCTACACTCTTCAGGAACCCCCCCTTGACCAGTCCAAGAAATTCACTGATAATTAATTTGACCCAAAGCCTAGACACAACTGAGCCTGAGAAGTCTGGCAGGAGTTTCACACAAAGAGGCAAACAATTTTTTATATTCGGACAAAGGCTACATCCACAATACGGCTGTACCTCTGTGCTGTAACTAATATAAGATCCAAATAAGTGTCATAGACTGCGCAGAAGGTATGCTGAAACCAGATGCATGTCTTTTCTTTCCACTTGTTAACACAAACTCATTATTTAAAACTGTAGCAGTTTCTGACTTCAGAATTAATTGCTAACAGGAAGGTTTCAGAGGTCTACACAGGTTCACTGCTCTCCCTGTTTTTATCGCACATCGGAGCTGCAAGGTCTGCACTATTTTAGGTGCTTTCCAAACACAGAACAAGGAGACAAACATCTCAAAAACACAGGAGTGCAAGTTGCTGGAGGAATACTAAGGAACATTCAGAGAGCATTGCGCAGCACATGCAATCGTCTCTGCTCACTAGTCACCCATAGAGAGGAATGCTGTAGATATCACACCAAAAGAAAGTATATAGGAGGGACCTCCAGGAGAACTTAGGCTGCCTTCACAGCTGTATGAGAAATTCCTCTAAGAATTAGTAGAGGTTAGCTTTACTAATTTGCTGAAGACAGGCCAAAAAAAGTGCAGGCTGCAAAAACAGACTTTCCAGTCTTGAAGAGTGAAGATCAATACTGGCCTGCAATTGAATTTAAACCTGTCTCTCAGAGTCCAAGGAGCACAAACTCCCTCAAGAGCATGTCTGTCTTTACCAATGATCAAAGTTAATTCACCAAGACCTGCTCAGTGAATCAATAGTCTTAAACATGAAGTTTAGATATTAAAAAAAAAATATTTCTTTAACTACTGAATGCAAACAATCTGGTAACTGATTAACATGCATTGATGTTGAAGCCCCAAAGCTATACCAGATAACTATAAAACTCGCTAACTATCCCACTAACTGAAATTCCTTATCAACAGTAGTTTTGGCCCTCTAACGTATTTATTACCTTTCATATGATTCTCTCACAGGGATATAAAACAACAAAAAAGTATTCACAAGTGCAATGTCTTTGTGCTTGTTTCAAAACACAAGGAAAACTGACAAACAGCCAAAGCAACTGCTTGAAGTACTTTGAGTCCTAACAAAGCACTTCGCCTCTGCCTTCCCTGCACTGATTCTTAGGAAGAAACTTACAAAACACTTCAAAATATGATCCTAGCAACAGAAGATTTATAGTTTACTGATCTAAAAAATATATACTTGGTAGAGGTACTGGCAAATTATAAATGCCCCCTTGCCTCCAAGCCAGCTCTCCACAGACAACATACTGTGTTTCCCCTCTCCCTTTTTCCCCCTCTCTGGAGGAGAGGCCTGGTCACCTCCACCCTTTTTCCTCATTGCTAAATCTATTGACCTAGATAAGGTGCCATTAAGCAGGCATTTGGGTTTGAAGACTGTTGCTTTTATATCAGACAAGAATGAGGCTTTTATACCTCGAAACTCGTTTGTGCGTAAGTGTACGAGCTGACAGTCCCACAAACGTTGCCTCATTTTAAGGCAAGTAAATGTTGAGCTGTTACTATATAGTGAAAAATGTTTTTTTACTTCTTTAAGACAAGCAGCATACTTCAATGACATTTCTCAGCTATCTGCAGGTCACCAGTACGCAGTTCAAACTGGTTTCTATATGGTCTTTTCATTTGCTTGTACATCTGAGGCATTGTATTCCAGCCATAGCTAGAATTTTGTACCTCTTTTGGTCTAAATGCCAAAGAAAATTTTATGTCAAAGACTTTTACCTTTTCTTCTTCATAGCATTGTGATATGCACTTCTTAACTGAGTCGCACAAGAAAATGTAAACACAGTACAGAAAGCCCTTGGATGTGGGGTTGATATTCCCTACACATTCACTAAACCTTCCAGAAGAGAACTCCCCTCCCTCTCCACCAACATCTCTGAGGTGAAGAGATTCCCTGAAGACAGATTTTGATTCCTACAGGAGTGGATAGCAGGATCCATCCAGGTTCTGAAACTCTGGAGCAGCTGAGGTTACTGCAGCTGTCTGTAACACATGATGGCTGGCGTTTGGTATGACAGATATATTAACTTACTTGGTTCCAGCATACAACGGGTCAAAAAACTGAGCAGTAATCATCGCAGCATACCAAGAAACAGCCACCATGGAGCAGAGACCTACCAGAAACAGTTCAAAAAGCACACAGGTGAATGACAAATAGTGGTAACAACTTTAAACCAAGAACAAGTATTAAACTAATTTAGTCCAGCTGTGAAGGCAACACAAAGTATTGATAACATTCTCATTTTAGCCTCGATATTACCTCCTAAAATAAAGAGAAATCCTCCCGTGACAGCAAACTTCATTTTTCCATCTTCATCGCTCAACCCAACGTTTGTGCACTTCAAACCAAGCAGCGAGAGTACTGTAGCTATGAATCCCAAAAGGATGGAAGTAATCATTAAGGCACGGCATGCCTGGATATGAACTGAGTAAGACAGAAAAAGAGAAAACAAATCAAGATCTACACAGAAATCAAACTGATCTTGTGCTGAAAAAATAAAAGTGATTAGAGGGAGTGACAAAATTAACAGGAGAAGTGAAGAATGAATCTTGTCCAACTTTTTTATTTGGCTCAGCTAAGCATCAAAACCATAGAGCGTTTAGCCTCAGATTTCAGAGTTGAACTACGCTTCCACTCTATAAGCTCAGTAAATCCCCTTGGGGTTTTAGTAAACCCTGAAAAATTACAGCAAGCCATTCATAGCTTATAACTTTAAGTCCTGTGAAAATGCATCATGGTATACATGGTCATTTACAGGAGCAGAAATAAGTCTCTTACTCACAAGTTCTGGTGACTTCCTTACACCTGTACAGCTGAGCACACAGGACACCTCTGAACTCCGGGTCCTAGCCAAGGTGTGCAGGGCTCTGGCACTACAGAGGAATCGGAAAAATGTCCTGGCTTTGCTACTCCCAGTGAGAGATGGGAAAGAAAGTGCTGGAGTTAGCAATGCACTTTAAACTCTGAGTCGGGGACAAGCGGATCCAAGAGCTGCAGCACTCCTCTCCTCCCTAAGAATTCCCTCCTCCCTAACCCTCCCCTGCGGAGAGGTTACAGCTGATGTGGGCACATTAGAGAATTTGGTATGCTGACGATTCTGCATCGCTTAAGCTCCCGGTCTTCACCTTTAGGTGACTGCACAAAAACTGGGCCCAGATTGTTAACCAGCCTAAGAAGGAAGGTCAGACAGAGACTTTTAAGCTCCTTTAAAATGGCACCCTGAATTTGGCAGGTTCCAGGCCAAATGGCACTTTGGCATCTTTGTTATGAGATAAACACACCAAGTGTCACCAATCCAGCAGGTCTTGGCTGCTAACTTTGTTGGACTTAATGATCTTAAAGGTCTTTTCCAACCTAAATGATTCTATGATTCTAACCACACATCAAAAGGGCCTCAATGGGACTACATCTGGACAGTTGCATCGTTGGGGCCAGCATTCAAGCTCGTACTCCCTGATCACCTCCACGTCCTCTGTGGTAACCTGCTCTCCAGCTTTGTAGTGGAGAGAGCCCGTAACTCTCCAGACAACAAAAAATCAGGCACAGAAACAGGAGGCAAAGTGATAGATTCACACTCAGATTCAGTGGGCTGTAGAGCTTTATGTGGCTTAAGAGTATTGGTCCTGCAAGCCTGAGAGTTATCAAAGACAGTAATAAGCAGTCATGAGATAAATGCACAGAATTAAATTATAACATCATTTGAGGAATTAATGTTTTGTTAAGCACTAGTTTTAAAATTCTGGGGGAAAAAAATACAGAAAGTAATAAAAGTGAAAAGACTCCTCAACGTACCATTAACAGTTCAAGGTTTGTGCTTGCAGAAGATACAGTTAGGACAACCACTCAGCTGCAATGCTGCTTTCTAGTTTGGGATCTTACACCATGGCAGCAGGAACTACCCATAGCAGGGATCCAACAACTTACATTTCAGGTCTTTGGGACTGCTGCAGTATTAGATGGGACTCCCCGTATCTCTCCAGGACGCACAAGTGTACCCTTAGCCTAACTGCTTTCAAGCTAATGGCTGTATTATTTCAACAGAAGAGATTTCATATCATATCCTCTTTGGACCACACTGTGATAACCTCAGCAGCCTTAACTGAGGAGCTTACTTCACGGTTCAGAAAGCTCAATTTTTTGTTGTCTTTATCTTAAAAATGAGCTTACTGAACAAGGTACGAAGTCAGTTAACTTTATCAATCAATACAAATTTTAAGAAATTATCCCAAAATCCTGTCATTGGAAGAAACACCTATGGAACCTTAAAAAGAAGGGGGAAAAAAGAGTTTAAAAAGCATTTGGCAGCTACCTAATTGCTTTATATCAAATGTTTGATCTAGTTGTGACTGGATAGATAGTGCCATCTCTACATAGTTGCCAGTCATGGTTTCAATCTGTCTCATGCAATATTGCTTTTTAAAAGGTCCTCACTTCAAACATTTGTGATTTGGGCTAATGGCTTGCTGTATTCAAAAGCTTTAAATCTGTTTAAAAGAACCAGTTCTGATATTTCCCATGCACAAAACAAAAACCAGAGGTAGACCACATAGCTCAGCTGCCAATAAGGAAACTTTCACAGAAAACCTTTATGGTCCCTCTGATGAGAGGTAAACAAGGGCACTTTTGTATTTTCTCCTCCCTCCTCCCCCAGTCCCTGGCGTCTTCGCTGCAGCGGTTTCAGCTAAGTTTCTAAACAGATATTTGAAACACACCTAAACTGGCCATGATAATTTTTAGTCTTCCTTGGCTCATACCTGCAAGTGCTACAGACATTTCTTGGAAGTCCTGCTGTTTGCTCAGCCCTCGTTGCTACCAGCCCCACTTTCTCCCTCTTTCCTGGTTTGCCCAACTGTCTTCCTAACTTTTTCAACAATTCAGTGTCTTCTAACTTGTTTCTTTTTCAGTTCTCCTTTCTAAAACCTTTTTTTCTTTACAATTCGTCAAGCTGCTTTTCCTTTCCCCTTCCTCCACCTATGCCCCTCAAATATACTGCCATCTTCTCAACAGCATAACTGATCTCCTCTTCAACAGATCAAATTCGATCTTCACAAATTCACTTTCAGAGCCTGGCCTATTCACTTACTTTCTCTCTGGCCCCATTTTTTTACTGCCTGCTGACTCCATGTTGCTATCTGCAGTTCTCCAGGAGCCTTGCTGTTGCTTGCCTTCCTTTCTCTTTCGCTTTAGCACATCCATTCCTGATGCTCTTTTCTGCACCATACCCCCCCCCATTTCTTTAAAACCCACTTTTTTCTCAGCAGCTCCAAGATGCTGACCTGATGCAGCCCCATTGCCCACACCTGCACACATGGGAGCTCAGAGGTAACACCACGTGTAAATACATCAATGACAAGATGCTGCCTAGAGTCACTGGCAGTGAATTATGAAGCAACCCTTGAACTGGTTTATACATAAACCAGATGTGCACTCACATAAGCACTCTGCAGAGGATAATGTCCGATGGACATGATCCTGCTATTGCTGAGTCTAAGAAATTTAAACAGGGTGATGTTCCACTTAATATACACATTCATTTTAAAAGCAATTGTTAGATAACACTGAAAGATGAACAGAACAGATTATTCCCTAAATACTGGACACAGACGGTTTCAGAGAATCACTATGCTAGTGTCAGAGCTGGTCAACAACATCAGTTTAATTCAGACTGAGAAAGTGAATTTAATACCTCATTCCCGCTATATTACACATTCTTCAGATTAGGAATATCCTCCTACCTATTTTGTTTAGCCACCTCCAAGTGTAGATTCAAGGCATCTTTATTCTGGGATAAGTACCTACATACTGAATTATTCAATATTAATAAAAACTAGTTTTACTGAGTATAAACACGCTTACTACCCACAGAATATTGCCTTCGTTCTGAAGACTGATACAGAGTACAGGAGCCAGCAGATCTAGATTTCCCGATATTTAGAACCACATCTAACAAGACATTAGTTAACAAGTCCTGGCAAGTATATTAATTTATAACATATACTCATTGTATAACATACTCAGAATAAAATACGTTATAATATGTGTAACATATACTCATTGTATTTCTTGCATTATCTGTGATTTTCAGTCTCAACACACAAAACACACTACCACTTCTTAGCTATAAATACTATTTCTTACCTATCACATGAAAAAAGCCCAGCTATGGTACCTTGGCTGTTAAGTATTGCAAAAGAAGGTCTATCCAATAATTCCAAATAAACATGGAACCATCATAAAATGTGTTAAAAAATGTCTCCTACTAATTCCTCCCACAAGTTGCTAGAAAAGAGATTACACCATATTTAAAATGCCTATTAAAATAAATGTTTGATCAAGCAACTTCATTTGCCTTATTTTATAGCCTTTCCTAATGTGCTTGACACATTCTGCTGCTCAAGAGATTTTTATTACTTCAACCCACAAAGTCTTTCTTGGCCGGTTATTTTCCAGTACTACCAGATTACCAAAACAAAAGCTTTACTACTTTTTTCCAACAAATTTTTACACAATATAAACAAGACTGTGCAAAGTCACATACCAGGCAGTGCAAGCAGAGAGTCAAATTCTCTGCAGTTGGATACTCCAGTGCTGTCTTCTGCACAGCTCCTCCACAGGTTTTCAAACAACGTAGATGTTGTGATCACACTACCATGTACAGTGGAGACTTTCCAGTAATTATTCGGCAAAGTAGCTCCAATAATTGCCCACCCACCCAAGCACAAAAGAAAACCAACAATTTCTAATGCAGCACTCATGCTTCTGAGTAGTAACAGTTAAATATCCCTATAATTAGATTACAATCAAGTGAAGCCTTTCAGAAGCCTCCTTGCTGTTTTATCTCTGGGTTTCACTCCAAAATGAAACTACCTTTGCTCTTTGCTCAACCCCAGAGATAAGGCTTACAGTACATGACAACAAGTAATGGGAGCAGTTCATGATAAAGATATTAACATTTTAAAAAAAGGACAATATTAATTCTTTTTCTAATGAGAAGCGACAAAATGAGCCTATTCTTAGTCTCAGCGTAGAAAGTCCAGTCAGTATTCCTGATACAAAATATCTTTTAAGAATGATAATATTGGCAAATATTTTATTTCTGTCCCTCCTCTGAAGTCAACTAGGGTTTACGCGAGATTAAAACTGTTTGTAATTTTACTATTGATCTCAAATCAAAAAACTGTGTTATTTTTTGATAACTTAAGCATAAAAAAGCTTGAGAACAGGAACTTTACTCTGTTACTAGAAAACTTAGCATGTTTTTTGGAGTTATGGTCATAAGTAATCCATAGCAACTATACTGCCACATTCAGTCTTAAAAATAGTCCCACTTACACTGGGATACAATTGTAATAATGTATGTTTCACAGAAATGAAATGTAAGGGAATAAATGAGCCAGTGTGACAGACCTATCTCAAAAGGAGTAAAATGATGAAGGAAAACAGCTATATGAAAAATAATACATATCAGCTGTTTGCATCTGCCAGAATATCTTAGCATTAATAAAAATGTATTATAGGTAAAGTAGAAGTATGTTAAACTTGGTTTACTTGCTTCTGCTCTTGACTAGACAAAATCATAGACTCAGTTCACATCACCCACTAATGTTAATACCTTACACTGCTTGCGTATCCCAAGCAGGGTTAACCATCTCTTGCAGTGATAACCTGCTCTTATCTCCAGGAAATGGAGTCAGAGTTTCTTCATAAAATAATCCCGCTATGACTCAACGTGGTAACAGATTCACGAGTCACAACTTGCCCATAAGAGACATCTGGGTTTTTTTTTTTTTTTCAAAATTCACTGGTCACTTTGAGCTGATGCCGTAGGTTGGTAGGCTCAGCTGCAGAAGGATACTACAATGCCACCACGACATTTTTGCTCCCTTGGCAGCCAAGAGGATCATTGCCATTGAGTTAAATAAGAACAGATTTGGCAGCACAGCCAGCATGATCCTGTGCAGCTCTGTACTTGCAACCTTTTAAAGAAACTAGGTGGTGTGTGGTAAGAATTGATCTTCTCGGGTGACTTTTACAGAATTCCCTTCTTCTATTACGTGACTGCAATTTGAAAAAGCATGGCATAGTAAAATGAACACTCTGTAACAGTATACTGGAGTACCTGCATTCCATTAAAAGCCTTTCAAAGAGTTTCAAATTAATTTATCCATACACAGGTGCTTCCCCAGGTGACCTCAGTGATCATTTCTGCTGACAGCACTGTCAAAGTCGAGTTTAGTTGGGACCTTGAATCAAGCGTCCCCAGATTTTATACTGCTGCCAAGGATAAAAAAGTTTTTAAGAATTTCATTTTTAAAAAATACCTTCCTAATTAAGAAAGCTATTTCAGCAGACAGTCATAAAGCACACATATAAGCAGAAAAGATTAAACTGCAGATCTGGAATGCATGAGTTTTTCCTATGGCACCAGGCATTTTAATCATTCCCTTAAGGAAATCACACTTCAGGGGTGTTGAAGAACATAGGGTTATTCTTCACTACATTTCATAAACTATGGTTTGGTAAGTGATGGACGCAACAGCAAATGCTGCTCTGCAGGAGGCTCTGCATCAGCAGAGTAAAGGAGTTGGCGTTGATAGCTTCACATCCACACCATCCACAATGTGGGAGTTTTCCTTCAGACTTACTCTAACCTGGTTGGGTGAACTGAACCACCCATCAGTGGCAGGAAGTCAGGGGGTGCATGCCTGGAGGAGGTTTCCCTGCTTTGCTTCATCCACTAGGAAACCAATTTGTGCACTGCAAGACCACTCTGCAATGAAAACTAAATACAGTAAATGGGAATAATTGGGGGAAAAAATCACTACAAAAGTGCACTCCTGATGTAAGTAAAATGCTAACATTGACATGCCAAGATGTGACCACATATGACCATAGCAATATATGACCATAGAGAGAAATTGCTCCTAACCTCTGATATTCTCAGAACAGAGCATGTTTGCAAGTAATATGTTTGAGGGAGGGTTTACAGTCAGAAAGAGTATTTTTTAAAATCAGATCAGCCAATACACTGGAGAAAAAAATACTGAAAATATTAACCCCCTAAATGCTTTATCAACATGAGCTGTACCTTTTTGATCACCTCTGTAGATTTAAGAGCCAGGAATGCTGACTGAGCACTGTAGGAAGAGAAACAGCCCTGTGACAGACAGCAATTAGTCTCCAGGCAGCCGCATGACATTCCCGTCAGTATGTATGAGGAACCCCACGCTGATTTTAGGGGACACACAGGTCTTTGAACAGGTGACAATGATCCACCGAGCCCTGCCAGCAAGGGGTCCTCTATTCCAATTATGGGGGCCACAGGAAGGGAGGGAAGAGAAGCCCCCAGGAAGTGACTGCTTCAGTTTGTCATGAACTCTTCTGTTCCTGGAGAACATTTTCTTTCCATGTTGGGTGCAATGAAACTGCATTTAAAAAGAAGGCGGATGTCCCACACTGACTCTGCTTGTCTCTGTAACAGGGCTGAAACATTTGTTTCCCCCTGTCACACAAGGCAAGGCAGAACTGCAACACCATCATAAGTACCCATGCCATCTTGCTACCACATACAAGAACTGAAGGAGTGTTGGCCCCATCTCATCACCCTAGTTTCCAGAAATCATAGCTAAGTTTATAGATGAAACTTAGGCACCCTGGTATCTACATAAAGGAAGTCTTGGACTGGAGCATTCTGATACTGGGTACCAGAATGGTATGAAAAGCTGGCATTGTCTCTGATATAACAAGAGGAGTTTTTAAAATCCTTGGAAGGATATGATTAGCCTTCTTTTGAGCCTACAAATTCTGGTGTCATTACAGGATGCTGATACTTATTCTTAAACTGACACCATCATTATGAAAGCAGATGAGGCCACTGAAGTCAGGGCCCTGAGGAAGAACCACAAATACGCTGAATCTTGAGAGTTAACTCCTGGGAGTTAAACTCTCATGTTTCAGAGATCTGCCTTACAGTTAGGCAGCTCTGATTTCAGTGGAGTCCATGTCTGTGTCAAGAAAAGCAAGCGTTCATAGTCTGTGAGACATGGTATTTGTAAGTTTTGAGCACTGCATATTAGGAATAAATCAGCTGGAAAGAGTCCAGACAAACAGCAATGACAGTAATCAGGGATCTATAAAGCAGGGACAGCTTGAAGAAATGATTCCATTATATAACTCATAAAGTGACTGCACAATATTGAAAGTTGTAAAAGAATAAATGCAAAGTTCTGTTTAAGACAGAAAGCTTAGCAAAATGCTAGTTTTCAAAGGCTATACTGCTACTGTTCCTACACTTGCTTTTCGGAGGAAAGAACTTAAATGTTGGTCCTTCCTAGTCCTTTACCATAAAAAGGTATTTACAGAAAGATATTGTAAAAATCTGGAATAATCCAAACAAATAATTTTCAGTCCCTACAAAGACAATTCTTCTCTTTCCGTTTGCAGATAGAATACCCTGCTAGCACAGTCTACCTCAGCAAACAAAAGCATCAGTTGCATAGATGTATTTTAAGCTGGCAAACTCTGAGGCATTCCAGAACAAATACACAGATTTAGCACAAAGTATCAAACAAGTTCTGAAATATCTATGAAGCCCTGTCTCACACAAACAAGCACCAGCACTCATTGACCTATGATCTGCTTGTAGTTAAGAACTCAGCCGAATAAAAAGATCCTATTTCTTCCAAAACAAACAAACAAAATCTTAGACTCATTGTGTATCACCCATACATGTATGCCAACACAACAGAGATGGCAATAAAGCCATAGCAGTTACTGAGCGGAATTGCAGGGTGAAGCATACGGGTTCCACTGGGGCCCTGTAACCTGTTTACAAGTACTACAGAACAAATCCTGTCCGTAACAGACACTCTGTGACAACCACAGTATATGCTGTCCAACCCCGCTAACAAGCTGTCCAGAAAGAAAGAATAAAATTACATCCTTGGATTTTATCTACACATGCCATGTGCACTTACTTTCTGAATTCAACATGTAGAGAAATTTCTTGCACTGTATTGATCCAAAAGCAGTCACTGCACAGTCCATCCAAAGACCTTCAGAAATCCAGTCTGCAGTAACCAGCACTGTTGCAGTGTCTGAAACTTTCCATCTGTTAGACATGGTACTAACAAGTAAAATGGTGAATCCTGCTAAAGCCAACAACAATGCACAAATTTGTAGAGAAGACGCCGCCATTCTTCTGACAGAAGTTGTTTTCAAAGAAGCCTCCTGAAATTTCTGATAAACCTGTTGAAACAGTTTATACACATATAGTATATGGAGTTACCTTTACACAAGCCTGACCTTTATGAAAACATCAAAAAGATGCCTACATAGAAAATAATTTGTCACATAAGGGAATTGTAGAACTGGAATTTAAATCTCATTAAATAACTGGAATACTTAAAATATTCTATGACATCTGAGTATTTGCTTAGGAACACTTTTATTACTGTACAGGCTTACCACAAAAAATACCAACAGAGCAAAACCAGAGGACCCCACTGAGGAATTCTCTGATTTGAATTTGCCATGTTTTATCTGTTCTTTATTTATGTGGTAACTCAAAATTCTTTTAAAATTAAAACTGTCAAATGCTTTAATAAATTATTAATCTCCCAATTACAATGCCTATCAATACAAATTTAAAACAAAATAAATTTATATACTCACGTTTACGGTATGTTTCTAACCTGTTTCATCTACCTTCCTGTTAGACACTAGTGTCAGCACTTTGTGAAGACCAGTTTGATCAAACAAGGGAAAGTTTTGTACTCTTTAGGACCTTTCCCCCCATTCTAAAAATCAAGGACTTGGGGCCAAAGCTCTGCCCAACTGTTGCACAAAGGCTCAGGCATGGCTTTTTGCTACAGCGAAGTTTCAGGGAAATGGATGACTCAAGAAAATTACAAAAAAATCATGTAAATTAGTACCAAAGATGCTCAGATTAACCTGGCAACCACTGGCATATAATTTGCTTTGCCAGTGCCACTGAGCTGCCCATGCACCATCAGACTCCAAAGCAATATAGAAAAATATTATTACAATTTTCACAATGATTGTTTTACCTGAAACTTTTGTTGCACTTGTTGCCAAGACACTGTTTTCATGGAAGGATACCTGTGTTCATAGAAGACAGGCAAGCAACTGAAGACAGGATTTGGTTTAGGATGTACCCTACACTGTGAAGGAATATGCAAGTTCTCTGCAAGAAAAGAAAGGAGAGGAAAGAGGAAAGGAAAGGAGAGAAGAGGGAGGAGAGAGGAGAGAGGAGAGAGGAGAGGGCAAAGAAAAAGAAAAGGGCAAAGAAAAAGAAAAGGGCAAAGAAAAAGAAAAAGGAAAAGAAAAAGAAAAAGGAAAAGGAAAAGAAAAAGAAAAAGGAAAAGGAAAAGAAAAAGGAAAAGAAAAAGGAAAAGAAAAAGGAAAAGAAAAAGGAAAAGAAAAAGGAAAAAGCCCCCTCCCATAATTATTCATTTTAAATTACTTCAACACTTGGAATTTGCACAAGGAAAGGAGGATTAAGTTTATTCCACTCTTAAAAATATGTACATTCCACTATAAAAGTTTTGTCTCACATTGAGGAGGGAGCATTTGTCTGAAGTGATTGTGTAACCTCTTCAAAACACACATAACTCAACAGAGAATATCTGAAATAAATGATAAATTTGAATTAAGCAACAAACTCAACAAGACTTCACACCATAAAAGCAGGCCAATAACCCAAATTAATGTTTTGCCTATTACATAAGTATGACCTGTGCAATCACAATTCATTCCTGGCAGTAAGGAAAAGAAGATAAAACTATATGCTCTGCACTATCACTATGGGTAGGACATATGTCAAAGCTGTAAACACAAAATTCTCATTAAAATACAATAATTTAACATACCGTAGGTTTCAAAGTGAGGAAGCTTGGAAACTAGATTTCACAAATACAGAGTAACAACCTTCCTCCACCCTGACCCAAATTCCACCATGTCATGGCAGGACTACAAACACAACTGTAAGCGTCCTTCTCCCACCCTTAAAATGACTGTCCTGTATTAATGCACCTGTAGAAGTGATGATACAACATCTATGAGCTCCTCGCTATGGGCAAGTATTCCTCAGTGGAAAGGTGCACATGTGGTCTGAATCTAGATGGCGACATTTCAATTCAATACACAGGGAGATGTAAAGTGGCAAGAAGAATAAACTTTGATAGCATGGTGTATGATGGACCAACTGAAAGGTGGTTTATTTTCCAGATCTTCTTAAGACAAGCATGCAAAGAAAACCTTTACTACTCAGAAAGCAAAGCACAAAGCGCTGGTATTTGAATCCTTATGGGCCAGGGAGTAGGTCTGGTGTCTCAGTGAGGACTGGGAGCCCGGTGATGGGTCACATAACAATAGGCCACAGAAGGCAGGAGTAGGGACCCCTCCAGCCTCTCCCAAAATGCACATCTCCCAGAGGTAAAACAAGGGCCAGTGAAAAAAAAAAGGGTGTGTGTGCTTGTTTGTTTAACCAGATCCATTTTCTTTATATTCTTTGTATTTCCCTGGCAGCATGTAAGCTCTGCAATAAGCACAGACACTGGTCCAGTGGATCTCATTAACAAACAAAACTGTGATTTCAGACATGCCCAGAGGCAGGACAGCCCTCCCTGGCTCCTGGCCAAAGGAGATCTCGAAGAACAGTTGGCTCTGCAACCACTTTGCTGCTGTTGTTCCTCCTCTCTTTGTCTTCCTCTGCCCCAAGGAACCACTCTGGCTCATCACCTCCTGACCCTGCTGCTACCACACAAAACCCATGGGACAGTCCAGACAATACCTTATTCCCTCTGGGCCACCAGTCATGCACAAGACCGCAGTTCCCATGCAATGGTGGTGCTGATTTTGTACCACTCTTGTAGTTTTAACAATAAAAGCAATGCCACCAAAACGCGTTGCTTTAACAGGGTAAGAGTTCACTACCAGAAACCATTTGCAAAAGCAAAGCTTTCAGAAGCAAACAGCTTGTTACTTCAACAGACATCATCAGATCCATCCTCCTCTTTCAACCTGTACCATGTACACCCTACCCTTCAGGATTTGATTGTACTAGCTGCCATACACTGTCACTGTTTATAGGTTTGAGATGATGGCACAACTAACAGCAAATATGATTTGCAACTGTGCAAAGGAGAATGACCATAAACCAAAATCAAGTAAATACATAAAGCCCAGATCATCATCCCTCACAAATTGCACACATAGGCTATGCACAACTAAGAGCTGTCAGGTGATGAAAACAAGCCCCGGGGGAGAAAGAGATCACCTGAACATTAAAAACAGCACAGCCAAAATGTACAAGGCTTGCACACAGGACAGGAAGGGTTAACAAAGAAAAACATTTAAGTCACTTAAACAAACAAATCACTCCTGATAAGGTCTCTGGAAGCAAAACCAAGTGGTAACAGTGTCTAAACTGGAAAGTTAAAAAACTCTTTTACTTCTTTTTCATTTTGTTACATAGAAAAACAGAGACGGAGCATTGATTACGCCACTGGTTTCACTTATGCATGCATATATATGCTTTTAACACCAGCAATATACAGCTTTGAACCTGCTAATCGTTTCTTAGTTCAAGCAAATTCTGAGGCTGACCCATGGCCACCAGTGCAATCAGAAAGAGATAAAATACAGGTTCAAATACAGTACTAAACCACTTAGAGCAGTCTCCCACCACAAGCTTACAGAGGTTTCCTCAGGTCAGGGTCTGGCCTTGAGTTGAGATGGCAAACTCTTTCACGCCTTAATAAAAAAAAAAAAAACCCCACCCCCCAACCCCCCCCCCCCACACACACACACACAAACGGAGGAACCATGTTAATTCATTTCCTCTCCACTTCCAAATGATTTCACTTTGTAACTGTGTTCCTGAAGTCGCTCTAACTTACTAAGCATCTAATAGGGGGGTACAGCCGCTTGAAACTACAATATACAGATCATTCTCATCTTGCTATTAGCTTTCCCTTCACACAGTGAACTACAGAATAATTTGGGTTGGAAGGGGCCACATTGACACCAACCTCCCACTAAAGCACAGCTTCAATGTTGGGTCCCATTGCCCAAGCCTGGTCCAGTCACAACAGAGTGGCCTCCAGGGCTGGAGATGGCCCAACCCCTCTCCCGTGGAGCGCGTTCCTCACACCCACACTGAACTTTCCCTGCTGCAACACATGGTTGCTGCCTCTCATCCTCTCCATGCACCTCTGAGATAAACCACTGTTTATTCAGCTGCTTGATTTTGGCAGCTCTCTGGAGACCCAGGCACAACTGGCACGTAGGCTGCTTGGCTGTCCCATTAGTAGCTCCACCAAAGCACAGATAACCAGAAAGACGCATGCAGCTTCTTGAAACTTACCAACTACAAGTTATTTTCAAAGCAAACACACCTGTTTTCTTTTTCCATTTCATTTCAGGAGGGTGTTTACAGTGCCGGCTGGGTGGGGACTGCTCTGCCAGTGCGATGCCACCCGGTCACACCGCGGGCATGAAGATCGCAGCACAGCGCCAGAGGCTGGGAGCCCCGGCCAAGTACCACGGGGACTGCAGAACACCTAGGGGCACCAGACCCAGGTGAAGGAGAGCATGGCGCAGAGGCTTGAGAGGAGGCTGTGGGGCAAGAGCAGCTGCCTGGCGCCTGGTCGGCCACCAGCAGCCCTTTAGTGGAGTGCCCCGACGGTGAGGAAAGGTGGTGAGGCATGGTGAGGTGATGTGGAGCCACTTGGTGGAGGAAGGCAAGGCTGAGGCAGCAGCCTGGCTCCTGGGCTGCTGCAGGCTGAGCTCTAGGCTAGGAGGAGACAGACTCTCTCTATTCCAGAAAGCTTCTAGAGGAAAGAACGCATTAAAACCGTGGAAGCCCCTAAGTACATGGAGCCAGCCCTGCTGGCCAAGGGGGCCCGGGAGGCAAAGGAGCTGCCACACT